TTGGTTCTATTGTAGATATACTCACTGATATGTAAATCTTTTTTAAATGGGTGGCATCCCCTTGGTGCCAATATATCAATATTTCTAACTTCCATCTAAAAAAAAAACATCTGTAATGGATAGTCCAGATGGTGTAGGTTGTTATCTATAACGGATGTCACGACTAAGGCACAGGATAAGAAGACTGCACTTGAGGGCAGAATAAACAAATCCCTACTAGTGTACAAACGGCATGCTAGGGCAATCTGACATGGCTTGTGGTCCAGGTTTGAGTGAGGAACAAAGTAAATTCTCTGACACATTGACTTTAGTTAAGGATTCCCTTTTTGTTATAACCATTTACTACATTTAGATTTTTTTTTCTTACCTGAGTCTGGTAGAAGAATAGAGTAGCTATGTAACCTTATTCTCATGTATGATGTATGATTAATAGAAAATCTATCTAAATTCTACAGTTCTTGCCAAATTTCTCTCTTCCTCCACTATTCTTCTCACTCTCTCCTTCTCTTTTTTTAACCTCTCCTCTCTATTCTCTTCTTTCTCTCATTTTAACTCTCACAACCTAAGCTATCACTGGAATACATGTCAAAGGCTCCTGACATGGGACTCTTTAGCTTAGAAGTTGGAAACGCTCCGTAGGAGCATATTGTTTCTGGTTCATGTCAAACTATTTGAAAGTTTTATTTATTGTTGCTCAGTCAACTAGCCTTACAGTGTAAAGGCAACCAGCTTAAAAGTAATGGTCTAGGATGGAACATTAGTCAACATGGATATGTTGGAAAGAATGGCTGGATCAGAAAAGATGGATTAGGTATTATGATAATATAGTTTGAGTAGTTAAAAGGACAATCTCTAAAGACACTTGTAACAGATTGTGATTCCCAGCAATTCTATATCTATGAAACCCATTTTACTATTGTTTGTAGCATCATGACAAAATATAAGCAAAAATAATGTTTTGACGTCAAGATTCCTTCCTGTCTCTTTCTTGGATTCTTCACTTCTTTTTCCAAGTTCATAGATTATTATTATTTATTAATCAAGATAATCTTGCTTCTGGTAGTGAATTTCATTGATTATTATGGGAGAGGTTTCCTACTATGTCTTATTTACAATACTCATTAGCATGAAGTGCATAATTTCTCTTTCTCTCAAACATGCATGTACATGCACACACAATGGTGCTGCTAATCTTGTAAGTTTTAAATATCTTCCCCTTGTGAGCAGGAAATAGTGACGAGACTTGCATCTTCTTTCACTTTGCTTACAAGATTTTCTTGATGCATTAAAAAAATTACTACTATTGCAGACTTCTCATTGCATTTGGCAATGGATTGATTGTTCTCTGGGATGCTTCAGAAGATCATGTTGTACTAGTTAGAGGCAATAAAGATTTAGCACTTGAGGGTGAAAGAGTAGCAGATTCTCCTAAAGGAAGAAGAGACCAGCTTTCTGACAGTTCATTTGATCACAACCTAGAAGAGAAAGAAATAAGCTCTCTCTGTTGGGCATCCGATGATGGGTCAATTCTGGCTGTTGGTTATGTAGATGGAGATATATTGTTTTGGAATTTATCAAATGTTGCCTCTTCCAAAGAATGCCATTCTGGGAAGTCATCAAATACTAAGGTTGTTAAGCTACAGTTATCTTCAGCCGAGAGAAGACTCCCTGTCATTGTCATACATTGGTCTGCAGACAGGTCATATAATGATTGTGGTGGACAACTCTTTGTCTATGGTGGTGATGAAATTGGTTCTCAAGAAGTTCTTACGGTGAGTGTTTGACTTAAACTGGAATTTCACATCTTGGTTTTGTAATAATTTAGCTAATAGCACATTGATCTTTTTTACTCATTTTAGTTGAGGAGAAAATGGAACTTCCTCATATCTCTACTGGGAGAGTTGTTGCTTATCTAAACTAATCTCTGGAGTTGTCATGATATACGAAACTAAGGAATGGTTGATGAACATTCACAATAAAGATGAAAAATATGCATGAGCATTTTGTTTTTAATGTTGGCATGACAAATTTTCTATCCTCTGCAGATTTTGAGCCTTGACTGGGCATCTGGTTTGGAAAGTCTC